AGTCGCACATCACACACTGGAAAAGCGTGTCAGCGAGGACGAAGCCGGAGCAGAGCAGGAAATATCAAGTGCATATGTTAGAGAGGGACAGTTGGTCTGAAGTGAGCATGTGTGAGGGATGGACACATTATCAGAGCTGGCGTTTGTCAAAGCTGAGCTGCTGTTTCTGTGATCCTGCCTGGAACTGGACGCACTGAAGATGTCCCTGCCAGCAGCAACAGCAGCAGCAGCAGCACTAATGAAAACAGATTTCAGCCACTTTAGAAAAGGTTCACTAGGAAAAAAAAAATCTAGTACTTCTTCAGGCTAAAACTGTTAGACCTCTGTGTCTTAGAAAGAAAACTGAAATAATATGCTCTTCCACAGACCAAAGTCCATAGAGAAAATCAGTGATTTCTACCTGTCCACTGTTTCCTTTTGCCGTCATTGTGTGTCATTCAGGTCAACGCACATGTGATGATGCCAGTCTATAATAATAATAATGATAATGACAATATGTTAATAATAATAATATTAATAATAATAGAGCTTGTTAAAGTGATTGTCCTGTTAACTAATGCATTGTTTACTGCCATTACAACACATTCTGAACACGTTGTTCAAATTGAGTTTGTTAAATTGCCGGGGTCTGCAGGTGGTTCACATGTTTTTGTGCTTTCTCTCTCTCTCTCTCTCGCTCTCTCTTTCTTTCAAAGCTGAAAAGCCTCGTACACAAGTCTGTGCAACAGTTGATGTTTCTTTTATGTGTCCCTCACACAATGAACATCAAACAGCTGCTACAGAGAAACCCACCATTTCATTTAATGCCGCTAACTGTGCAGCAATTAATAAGAGGCCACAGACACACTGTGTTTCCATGCACACATTTCATTTGTGCCAAGTGGCCCCGCTGTGCGACCTAGCCACTGACGGCCACTACGCTGGAGCACTCTGGGTAATAGCCCTGTGCACCAGTGCTCGCAGCAGCAACAGCAGCCACAGCAGTTATGGCAGCAGCAGTGGCAGCAGGGAGAACTCAGATGAAATATCAGCTTGTCTGGGAGCCAGGCAGAGGACAACAGCTGACTCTGCCAGAGTCCAGTCTGTCCTCTGTGGACCGAGCTGTCGCACTTTTATGAGACTTCACTGAGGCAAACACTGCCTTCTGACCTCATCTCAGGTAGTTTGGGGAGAAGATATATTTTTGGATTTTTTTTTTTTTTTTTTTACTTTTGCATTTTCCCACCCATCTGGGTTCACGTTTTAGTGTGCACTCAGGTAAAGGTTTACTCCTTCTCCTCGTTTGTGAGTGGAGTCAGAAATAGGTGCTGTCTCCAGGGAACAAATGCCATTAAATAACCTGAAACTGTCCTTTAAATTCTCCTGACAGGGACTTTTAGTTCTGCTGTAAAGTCTAACATTAACTTTATCAAAAAAGCTATAAATTAGCCACAGATGGATGAGCATCAGCACAGGAACAGCTACAATGTAGATAAAAGAATTTATTTTTTCCTTCAGTTCCTACTGTACGGTGCCTTTTTTCTTCTCCTCCTCCCCATCCTCCTTCTTCTCCTCCACACGGTTGACATTATTTCTCTCATCCCTCCCTCCTTGGCCTAACACATCAACTTGTGATGTAATGAGATCATAGAAAGCTCCAGCCCTGCTACCTGCTCTGTACGACACATTTAATGATCCTGTAATCAATTAGTGTGAGAGTGAAAGTCTCTCTTCATTAGGGTTTCTCCTGGGAGCTAAACGTTCTCACCTCCATTGGATTCTCCTTTATCTCTCTGTCTATATGGCAAAATCTGAACTCGAAGCTCATGGAGAGAGAAGTCCCGCAGACAGAGACTTCATCCTGGGCTTGTGTTTAAAGTCCAGACTTTAAACATTTACAGTCACTTTCTATTTCTCACGTTCACAGGAGGGCTGTCTGCAGAAATGGACTGCATTGAAATATATATATATATATATATATGTATATATAAAGATATATACATAAGATAAATATAGATAAAATGTTTTTTCTTCTCATGGAGACACATTTCGTATGTCTAACTGTTGTTATACTCGCTCACGCCGACTGATTCAGCCTCTGCCGAGTCCCAGCTGGGTGTCACTGCAGAGACTCGGCCCAGTCACCACTGCAGTCACTGCTGTGGAATTTCTAGCTCTTTAACTTTTTGGTTTCTTCTGACCTCTAACCAAATAACATCCCTCATTAAAATAATACGCTAATTCTTTATGAGAAAAAGACATGTTTCAAATATGCCTAATGTTGGTGCTGGACAGAAAACCTGGGTGTGTTTGTTCAGATGAATCATTTCTTGGCACCCCCTGTTTCTAAAATAAATCTAAAATCCTGGACAGTGCTGTTTTTCTCTGACTGATTTCTAACGTTGAACGTGTCAGAGCTTCCCTCAGACTGTACCAGGCTCTGCAGCTGCAGCAGAAGCAGCAGCAGCTCATGCTCTAATTAATGATCCGCAGAAACTGGAACTAATAAAGTCCCCAGAACCAGGTTATATATCACAGTGTGGATTTATCATAACTGTGCTTCCCAACGTCGACTCAGAGCTTTTCCATAAGTGTCGGCCGTCGGCCAAACGGCCAGTGGCTCGTTTAAATCCAGCTGCCTACTCTCTTATATTAATTTTTGATTATAATAAAGTGGATTTTTATTTTAGACTTAGTCTTGTTCTGTTTTATTTCTTGAATATGTTTATTAAAACTAAAGAAACAGAATCTGGATAAGTCAGAGGGGATTAAAAAGTTGGACGTGAGCTGGTGATGAAGCAGACGTCTTTAAAAATCAACATTGGTCAGATGGTTTTAGCTCAGGTTATTCACTAAATCTCTAAACCGGTGTGAAAGTCTGATCCGACCAAGAAAAAGTAATGAAGAAAAGTAAAGTAGTAAAAAGTTTATCTAAAAAAAACAAACATAATTACTTGATAAAAGCCTTGAAATTGAGATTTTAACTTTTAACTGGAATTATTCCAAGAGTGAATTTGTATCAGATTTCAGTGTGGAGGGGGATTACCTCCGGCCGCAGTTATTTTTGTCCCTGCTGATGGAGAAATGATAACAATGTTGATGAAGCTGAGGTTGGTGATGATGATGATGATGGTGATGTTGAAAATGATGTCAGTTGTTCTGCTGGTCTAATGAACGACATGGTTCTCCATGTTCTCCACCTGCAGTGACTTGTTATCTGGAGTGAACAGCTGTCTGGCTGTGAAGTGCAGCTCCTCTCTCTCTACATGCCAGTCTGTTTAAATACATGAACATTCATTTAGTCCTCGTTTTCTAACTGATTAATTAGCAGCAGCCCTGGTGTGTACTAATCACAGTGTTTAATGGAGTGATGTGGGACTAGTGACATCAGCTAATACACTGTATGTTTGACAGGCAGTCAGTACACACTGCAGAGAGGGGGCTCGAACATGTCTGCCATTGGAGTGTTTGTCAGCCATTAAATGACTGTTGTTCTATATAAAGATCGAGGCACTGAGACAGAACCTGCAGCATTTGTAATGATGATAAATCTCCCCTCAGTTCATACACTCTATAAACGCAAAACAGGAATCCTGCTGTGAATGAATGCGTTTCTACATCTGCATGGAGAAACCCACTTCCCACTCACAAACACTACAATTACAGGCTGCACAAACACGATTAACTCCCCTTCCCCCACACTCCTCACCCCTCCTCTGCCCCATTGTTAATGGCAAAAGCTGTAGTTTCAAACTGCAAAACAGCTGCTGCTGAAAACTGAGCATGAGATTCGACAGACGCCTCAAGGAGAAAGAAGAAGGGAGGGTTACTCGTGGTACGGCCAGAGCTGGAGACCGAGGGTGCATGCCTAAACAGAAGAGTTTGCAGCCTTATAGGTGTCAGTAATTTTTCAAAGCCTTTTCCTTTTGTCAAGTATTTGAATGAAATCAGAAAAAGACAATTTCATACTCAACCACATTAAACTATTTATGGCACACTGTGAAGAAAACATGAGGGTTAGGAACCGTGGTCGATGCCAAGCAGCCAGGGGCGGAAATACCTCTCGCCAAAAAATATGCCTCCCTTTTTTTCTTAGTTAATATTATGTGTCAAAGAATCTTGTGAACCTTTGAACGCTCCAGTTGGGTCCTAATCAGAGATCTGAGGAGGTGTACAGCCTCACAGCTCAGCACACCCACAGCCTTACAGCATCCAGTAGTTCCTGTAAAATCTTTGGTGTTAGACTAGGATTAGACTTCAAGTCATGGACCAGACCATTACAGCTGCTTTAGTAACGCCCTCCTCCAGGCATGGGAGGTAACATACATGCAGAGTTTTTACATTCTTGAATGTTCTATTTAAAATATGTGGAACTTTTTTTTCAGGTCGGTGTTTGTGCTTGCTCAGAGTTTTATCTTCATGGACTGATTATCATTTTGAAGGTTTTTTTTAGATGTGGAAGTACAAGAGAAGCAGCAACAGAAGTACCCAGATGTACAGTATTTGTGATTGTATTTAAGGTCTGTTGATGTTAAATAAGTAGATTTGGCTTAATTTTCATGTTTGTTCTGGTGAATTTCTCTCAGTCTTTACTGATAATCACAGGTCCATGTTTGAACAGTTAATGTGGTGTGGAGTTTTCAGACATAATTCTTTGTAAATGGCCGCACCTTAGACAGTTTTGAAGGTATTATTTAGCAGAATTACCTATAAAATTAACTGTATCTAAATCTCTTCAACATATTCTCTTTAGACTTTATTCTAAATAATAATAATAATTCTTAAAATAATATTATCTACTAAAATCTCCTGGTCTCAGTCACAAATACCTTGCTCTTGGTCTGTTTACATGTTTTGGTCTTACTTCCTTTAGAAAGATAAAACAGAACAAAGGAAAATGAATGGCTGTGGTGATGGAGGGGTGAGAAGGGGGTCTTCTCAGGATGATTAGCTCAAAAACAATGAGAATTCCTTTAAACGTCAGTAAAAAAACAATTCTTTTTTCTCTTCTTCTCTTTTAGCTCCACTGCTACGTGATGGACGGCTGATTCACATCCTCTTTCCTCTTCTGCTTCTCCTCTTGAGACCCCCCCTGTTGGTCAGCTTTGGAGAGCGCACCTGTCCCAACAGCTGCCGATGTGAGGGGAAAACCATCCACTGTGATGCTTCTGGATTCTTGGAGGTTCCAGAAAACATCTCCATCGGTTGCCAGGGTCTGTCGCTGCGCTACAATGATCTGCACACCCTGCTGCCCTATCAGTTTGCTCACCTCAGCCAGCTCCTCTGGATTTATCTGGACCACAATCAGATCTCCACCGTGGATAGTCGCTCCTTCCAGGGTGTCCGCAGACTGAAAGAGCTAATACTGAGCTCCAACAGGATCACGTCACTCCACAATTCCACCTTTCATGGAATTCCCAACCTTCGCAGTCTGGACTTATCCTACAACAAGTTGGAGGTTCTGCAGCCGGGGCAGTTCCATGGTTTAAGGAAACTACAGAACCTACACCTGCGATCAAACGGTCTCTCCATTATTCCGATTCGAGCATTCCTGGAATGCAGAAGTTTGGAGTTCCTGGATTTAGGCTACAACCGGATCAAGGCTCTCACCCGCACAACCTTTCTAGGTCTACAGAAGCTGATGGAGTTGCACCTGGAACACAACCAGTTCTCTCGGATCAATTTTTTCCTCTTTCCTCGTTTGGCCAACCTGAGGTCTCTTTACCTCCAGTGGAACCGGATCAGGGTCGTCAACCAGGGCCTTCCATGGACTTGGTACACACTTCAGAAATTGGATCTCTCAGGAAATGAGATCCAGACCCTGGACCCTGCCGTGTTCCACTGCTTGCCCAACCTTCAAGTCCTTAACCTGGAGTCCAACAAACTTTCCAATGTGTCTCAGGAGGCGGTGTCTGCCTGGATCTCACTGACCTCCATCAGCCTCGCTGGAAACATTTGGGACTGTGGAGCAGGAATATGCCCTCTGGTGGCTTGGTTGGGGAATTTCAGGGGCAACAAAGACACCACGATGATATGCAGCAGCCCAAAGTATCTGCAAGGGGAAAAAATAATGGAAGCCACTAGAAATCACATGATATGTGAGGAAACTGATTATGTTTTGACTGAAACACCGTCACCAATGTCAGATCTGGTTTCTGAAGCCACAGCTGAACCAACCTTCCCTCCCACGGAAACCTCTTCACCAATGCCACCAAGCAGCACCTTTGGTCCAGTTTTACCATTCAGACCTAGACCGGTTTCTCATCCAACTAACCCTGGACGCATGAACAAAGACCTCAGGGATTCTGTAGCCCGAATTCGACCCACTTATGTACCATCTGCAGAGTTTGAACACATGACTCTGCATAAAGTGGTGGTGGGCAGCGTGGCAATCTTCTTCACCATGTCCTTGATCTTGACAGTGATCTATGTGCTGTGGCGACGTTACCCAGGAGCCACCAGGCTGCTGCAGCAGCGCTCGGTAGTAGGACGCAAGCGCCGCAAAAAGAGTCCAGAGCCGGAGCAGAACCTCAGCTCCCAACTCCAGGAGTATTACATGAGCTACAACCCTGCTGCCTCCCCGGAAGCACTGGAGGTTCTTGGCAACGGCACTGGTTCCTGCACATGCACAATGTCTGGCTCCAGGGAATGTGAGGTAAGATCCATCACTTTGATTATTAACAAGTTACCAACTCCACTCAAACATCATCCTGCAGAGAACAGGCTCAGGATGCGGGCTTGATGTGAGACAGGCTTACTGTAGCGAGGACAGACTTTGAAAGGGACACATTAACTGAAACATGGTAATGTCTGAGCTGTCCTTCTGTTAACGTTAACGAAAGGTAGTAAATAGAGTTTTAAGTCCAAGGACAGTGATGCTACTTAGGTTGCTATCTTTTAACACTTTCCTAGTGACAATGTTTGCTTTCTTACCACTAAATAGTCTCTGACGTCTCCATGTCCTCTGCTTGTCATCACAGTGTCTCTGTAAAGACCAGTGATTCAGACCCTAAACTGGATTTTACTTCATCAAAATATCAGCCAGGTTTGAATAGAAGCTTATCGTGTTAGGTTACTTAGTTGAAGTGACTAACATTGATTCAGATATTTTCAACAAGACTCACTGTTGGCTGCTTTTGCTAACGCTTGTTCATGTGAGACAAAAACCAATAATTTGATGAGAATGAATGAATGAACAGAGGTTAAAGTGGTACAGTCCACATTAGTACCGTCTGAAGTGGTTTATATAATAAAATGTACCTGAATGTTAAGAAAGGACAGGGACTTTGGGTTTTGACTTCTGGTTTTTGATCAGTGGGTACCGGCCCTCCACAGGAACCTTTGTACAAACTCTGGCTGTAATCTCCTGAGATTCTGCTACTGTGACATGAGACTCATCCGTTATGACTTTATCTCTGGAAATGGTTCTGGCAGAAGTTTTCCTCTTCAGTTTGCTTGATATATTTGTCTATCACTGTACATGGTCGAAACTAGGACAAATGCTTTTGGTGGTGACACGGACATGGAGCAGAAATTGGAATATGCTATAAAACATCCTTTAAGTGGAAATGTTGTTAAGACAGACAGACAGGCTAAGATAAGCTATCAAAATCTCACACACAAAAAACCAAAACAAACAAACATACATTAGTTTTAGGATTGGACTCTTACAGGCCTCATACTATCCTGATACAAAAAATGATCTATAAAAACTTGATTACTTTTGGGGGGTGGTTTAAAAAAATCTAATAGCTTCAAGGAACTCACACCCAATCTGTGCTTTGGCTCTCACTAACAAAAGTTTTGGACAGACGTAAATCCTTGTTGCAATGACAAACGATAGAAATATTCCAGAGCTAAGATAACACACTCGACCTCAATGTCAGGTTTTGCCAATTATTTGTGTAAAAATGGAGCTTAAAGTGAAAGCTGCAACAGAATTAATCTGACAGCGTAGCATAAATCTGAGCTCCTAAGAAAACAGACTTAATCTCAATTCATGAATAGGTTTGGTTTCCACGGTTTGTATTATGTTTTGATGACTGCAGGTCAGGAATCATCTCACTGTTAGACAGTCTCCTAACAGAGGAATAAAGATTTAGTTCTCAGACCAAAGTCCATAGAGGAAATCAGTGATTTTAGCTCACAGACCAAAGTCCATAGAGAAAATCAGTGATTTTAGCTCAGACCAAAGTCCATAGAGAAAATCAGTGATTTTAGCTCACAGACCAAAGTCCATAGAGAAAATCAGTGATTTTAGCTCACAGACCAAAGTCCATAGAGAAAATCAGTGATTTTAGCTCACAGACCAAAGTCCATAGAGAAAATCAGTGATTTTAGCTCACAGACCAAAGTCCATAGAGAAAATCAGTGATTTTAGCTCACAGACCAAAGTCCATAGAGAAAATCAGTGATTTTAGCTCACAGACCAAAGTCCATAGAGAAAATCAGTGATTTTAGCTCACAGACCAAAGTCCATAGAGAAAATCAGTGATTTTAGCTCACAGACCAAAGTCCATAGAGAAAATCAGTGATTTTAGCACCCGGAGCACATTTATACATACTTTAGTGACAATATATCAGTAATGACTGATAAGTCTCTTCATATTGACAGCAGACGTCCTGCTGCTTCTTACATTTTTTAAATTGACTCTCACACTTTCTCCAATGTCCCCTCTAGCAAAATCTCTTAGTTTTTGTTATTTTAAATAACTGCACTGAAAAAGACACAGAAATGCCAGTTGTGAGGAAAATGATTGAAAGGCAGTTTGAAAAGTCAGGAGGAGCTCTGTGAGACTTCATGATTGGCTTGGTTGTAATTCATTCCTTAAACTCCTTCAGACTTTTTCCATTTCATGGGTTTAGACATTCTTTCAAATGTCATCCTACTGTTACTCTTCAGTCCTTTCTTCCTTTATTCCCAGCATACCACTCTTTTCTTCTTCCTGTCTGGCTTTGCTGTCCCTTTTGCCTTTTGACAAAGGCAGCATCACTCACTGCACTTTTTGAAGGAAAACATTTTCTCTCATTGATTTCTAAGGCTTCACTGTTGATGCATGTGAAAGAAATGAAACAAATAAAAAGAAATTTCAAATCTGAGCCGCTGGGACACAGAGAAGCCACCGCTGCTGAAAGCAGCTGAATATAAGAGTGAAAAACCACTTTAAAGGTACAGTCCATTGCTTCTTCAGGGTTCGGGTTAATGTCGAAGCCAATTATGATGCACTCAACACACACAGAAAACATCACTTTCCTCCTCAGATATTCAGCCATTCTATTAAAAAAATTTTTAGGTTCTCTCTGGTTTGACAGCAGTTTTCTGTTTTTTAATTGTAGGTTCGCAATTTGTCTCAAAATAAAATAAAAAAGCAGAATCGTATGCAATATTCCAAATAGAAATTTGAAAAGAAATACTTGCTGCCTCCAAATATCATCTCCTCAGTAAATTCGAATTAGGTTCAAAGAGCGGTCGAGTGACTTTTTTTTTTAAGTTAAGTGAAGAGAAAAAACCTAAGCAAAAATAAGGCAAGAAAAAAAAAACGTAATTTTGTAAAACATACTATAGGTATTAAAAACAAAAGGAGCCCAGAAAGAGTTGAAGCTTGACAAATTCAAAATAACCTAGAACTAGCATAAATGTAGCCTCAATCACACAAATGAGCTTGAACCAGGAAGAGTTAAAAGTTTTTTTTAAAAATTGCGTTGAGCTTAAAAAATTATTCTGAGTTGAACCAGTTTTGGTTGGATTACTTTAATGCACACAATCAGTAATGAATTTAAAAGCAGTTGATTACATACTTCTATTTTGAAATTACTGCTATTTGATCAAATGTAAAATAAAATTTGCCTTTACAAAAAAACCAAAGATGTTACCACTGCCTAGGGCAGGAAGGTTTGATCAAGATTAGTCCTAATAGAACATTAGAGTAGGATCATTCAGAGTGTGTACTGCTTTTGAGTAATACTTTAGGCTCGTCGTACTCCTGATAGAAACCTTGGTTCTATTAATTCCATCGTCTGGAGGAGATTTAGGGCTCATGTCACAGTTCAGTACCTTTCCTCATATTTCTTTTAATTCAAGTATGGCAACAGTCTTGAACCCGCCCAAAATGCTCTCACTGGTTAAGACAAATCACGACAACAGTCCCAGGACAGACCTGATCCACCCCCACTCCTGTGAGCCACTGTTTGTCTGGAAGTGTTCTCAGAGCCAATGAAAATCAGGCTTTAAAACATGACTAACAACATAGAAAACTGCGGCGATGTGTGATAGAAATAATGATCAAATGCCTAAACGCTGGTGTTAATGTGATATAAACATGTTACCAAGACCGCAGTGATGATCCTGGTCAGCTGTGATGTTGAACAGAACTGTCCGTCCTCAGTCTTCTTCTCTTTGATGACTTGGCTGTAGTTTGTTGGTCGGCTCACTGCTGCTCATGTCTCTTTCATGACGCCTCTCTTTGACTCCCTGCCGATACTCGCTCTGAGAAACAAAAGCCGACATGTTGAGTTTTTACCCCGCTGTGTTCTGGATTCACAGTCCGGGCCTCAGAACGGTGTCAAAGCTCATTGGTTCTAATTCTTTTGTTCTCCTGGTTTTCTCTTTGTTCTTATCAGGGTTTTTGTTGTTGTTGTTTTGTTTTTTTTTACATTTACCAGCTTTACAGTCCCTGCAGGCTAAGAGATGTTTGTCGTTATAAGCCTTTCTTCTGTGCATGTCACTGCCAATGCAACTCTGACAAAAAGTCAGCGAGAACACACCTGCTGTAGGACTTAGTTAGACAGAACCTTCAGGAGAGACGTAGCTACAAACAAATGGTCAGAGTGGAAACAGTCTGAACAGTCGATTCACCACCTTCAGGCTCCAGTGAGCTGCAGGTCTCAGGACAATTGTTCAACAAAGACAACAACAATAATGATGACTACAACGACAACAACAACACAGACAACAATGACAAAAATATCCAGTGCAAAAATTGTCTCTTGTGGAACGTGTGGAGAGTTTCTTTCTAAACTTCAGTCCAGTCGTGGTCCTCAACAATATTAATCAGTCTTCAGTCCTGAACAATCTTTAACTGTCGTCTCAGTCGCAGAATTACTGATGGTTCTGATCTCAGGCAGGAGTTTGAAGCCTCGGCAGACACGCTGACAAGAGTTGAGACGGTATTTTATGTCCGGGCTACTGCAGTGAAAGTTGATAATGTACAACATTTTTCATTTCTGTTTATTTACTTTATATTCATTGTTGTTGTTTTACAAATTTTATATTCAACATCTGAACTGACTTTAGGCTCTGATCCCTGTCATCTGGTCCATTGTGGGCTGTAGCTAGTGTTAGCTCCGGTGTCTGTACCAGGCCTGTTGTAGCTAACGTTAGCTGTGGCGTCTTTACTACGATTGTTGTAGCTAACGTTAGCTGTGGCGTCTTTACTACGATTGTTGTAGCTAACGTTGGCTCTGGTGTCTGTACGAGGACTGTTGTAGCTATTGTTAGCTCCGGTGTCTGTACCAGGTCTGTTGTAGCTAACGTTAGCTGTGGCGTCTTTACTACGATTGTTGTAGCTAACGTTGGCTCTGGTGTCTGTACCAGGTCTGTTGTAGCTAACGTTAGCTCTGGGGTCTGTACGAGGACTGTTGTAGCTATTGTTACCT